AATTTTATTAATCCAATTTGTGAGGGGTGGGGAAGGTGTGCACATGTGTGGTACTGGGGATTGAACCCAGGGTTTCCACAACTGAACGACATCCACAGTCCTTTTATTTACACACACACACACACACACACACACATTATACACACACACACATATGTTATAGGTGAACACAACACCTTTATTTATCTATTTTTATGTGGTGCTGAGGATCGAACCCAGTGACTCACACATGCAAGGCAAGCACTCTATACCACTGAGCTACAACCCCAGCCCCAGTTCTTTTATTTTTGAGAGAGGGTCTCACTAAATTACTGAGGCTGAATTGGAACTTCGAAATCCTCCTGCCTCAGCCTCCCCCAGGTAAGTAGGACTGGCTCCACACAAATTTTAAAAATAAAACAGTTAAATAAATCAAAGTCTACACCAACTATTAAGTCCTACAAATGTCCAAAATAAACATTATGCAGTCATATTAAGGGTCTTTAAAATATTTTTCCTCTTATTAATAAAGAGTAAAAGAGGACATGTGCTGTAATTTAATGGAGGACCCTATTTAAAGGATAAAAAAGGGGCTGGGGTTGTGGCTCAGTGGTAGAGCGCCTGCCTACCATGTGCAGGGCCCTGGGTTCGATCCTCAGCACCATATAAAAACAAGTGAATGGAATAAAGGTATTGTGTCCAACTACAACAAATAAATAAAATAAAGGATAAAAAAAGATTCAGTCCTTGACATGAAAGAAAGTCATATGAAAATTAAATACCTGACAAAGTCCAACATTTTTCCTTTAGTTTTTCTCCCATCTTGAGTTACCAAGTTTCAAATCCAAGTAAAAACTCTCCTCCTTCTTCCTTTGCCCCAGGCTTCCTTGATGAATACCAGCTTATCCTAAAATCTTACATCATGTCCCTACAGTATTAATGCATTCAGTTTACACTGTCTTCATCATTTGTTCTCATGGTGTACTGCCCAGAGATGTAGCTTTAAAAAAACAAAAATGTCACTGCACAAGGCAAGGAATAAATGAGTGGCGAGATGAGAGGATAATCAAGTCAAAGTGGGAATTAAATCCCTATTATAGTCTGTTCCTGGTATAGTAATGTGGCTGGTGAGATACCAAACAATAGTGATCAGATAACTCATGAAATACTCTGGGATCCACAGGACTTCAATTTACACATTAAATACACTGCCATAAAGATGTCAAGTAGTGAGGGGTGTGGTGATGTATGCTGGTAATCCCAGCAGCTACAAGGATACCAAGTTCAAGGCCAGCCTCAGGAATTTAGCAAGGCCCTAGGCAACTTAATGAACCCTATCTCAAAATAAAAAACAAAAAGGGCTGGTGACTGGCTCCCTGGTTAAGTGTCCCTGGGTTCAATATGTGGTAACAAACTTTTTTTTATAACAAACTCCCCCCACACTTTTTTTTATAACAAACTCCACTGTGAAACAATCTTTGCCACCCGATAACAAGTGTTGGCAAGGATGGCATAATTGGTGCATGCCAGTGGGAACGCGGTGGCACTGCTACTGTGGAAGAGTCTGGCAGTTCCTCAAAGCCCCTGCACAGGTATGACATCAGCTACTCCGTAATCCAGCTGCTAGGGAAGGTGAGGGAGGGTGGTCACAAATCCAAGGCCAGCCTTAGCAATTCAGAGAGGCCCTAAGCAACTTGGTGAGACACTGTCTCTAAATAAAATAGAAAAAAGGGCCGGGATGTGGCTGGGTTTAATCCTTAGTACCAAAAATAAATAAATGAATAAATAAGCTGGGATGGGGATGTATCTCAATGTCTCTGGGTTCAACTACCAGTACCAAAACAAAACAAAAATGTAAAACATGGAGTTACCACATGACCCAACAACTACACTCCTCGGTAAGTACCCAAAGGAACTGAAAACATGTCCATGCAGAAACTTGTACATGGCCAGACACGAAGGCCCACGCCTGTAATCCCAGTAGTTTAGGAGGCTAAGGTAGGAGGATAGTAAATTCAAAGCCAGCCTCAGCAACGGGGAGGCATTAAGCAACTCAGTGAGACCCTGTCTCTAAATAAACTACAAAACAGGGCTGGAAATGTGGCTCAGTGGTCAGTGCCCCAGAGTCCGATCCCCAGTATCCCCTCCCCGAAAAAAACCTTGTAAATGAATGTTCGTAGCAGCATTATTCATAACAGCCCAAAAGCTCACTAAATTTTAGAAACTTACAAATACTGTGACAAATGTAGGCAGAATGGTACACGGATGCTACTGAAGCCATCTGCAATAGCGACATGCAATACCTCAATCCCATCTATCACCACTGAATAAACCTCAGCACCACATAGAAACAAATGAACAAAATAAAGGAATTGTGGCCAATTACAACTAAAGAAAAAAATTTTAAGAAAGAGAAAGAACTGTGGGCTGAGGTTGTGGCTCAGTGGTAGAGCACTCATCTAGCACGTGTGAGGCACTGGGTTCAATCCTCAGCACCACATAAATAAATAAATAAAGGCATTGTGTCCTTCTGCAACTAAAAAATATTTTTTAAAGATTTTTTTCCCTCAATACCTTTATTTTATTTATTTTTATGTGGTGCTGAGGATCGAACTCAGGGTTTCGCACATCCTAGGTGAGCGGTCTCTACCGCTGAGTCATATCCCCAGCCCCTAAAAAATATTAAAAAAAAAAAAAAAAAGAACTGTTCTTACAGGTTCATTAGGATTTTCTATATGCACAGAAAACTGAAGGGGGAAATGACCAGGGGAGGGGAACGAGGTTTATCTATCTCATTTGATAATGCCTGGCTTTTTAGAATTGTGAATGTGAATTAAAGTAAAAGATCAATCTGAACTCAGCACCCAAAGTGACCATAATTTGTCTTGTATATCACACTGTTGATTTTCTAAGACCAAGATCTTCACTGAAGGACACCTGGTGACATTCCAGGAAAAGTTGACCTTTACTCCTCAACAGCTATCTTACATTGGAGCTGGACCCTTCCATTATCAAGGCTTGTAATCTAACAGTGTTTTCATTTTTTATAATGTACAAAGTCACCTCACTACTCCACTTGCTGACATTTTCTGAAGTTAACTCCTCAACCACTGCCTCACAACAGCTACCCACTCCACATCTTATCTCCGAAGGACGAAGATTTACTCCAATGACTTTGCTGTCAAAAATGTTTTGCTGGGATGTAAATCAGCGTTGGAGAACTTGCCCAGAACATGCAGGGGTCAGATCCCCAGCACAATAAAAAGCGAGCAAGACAAAAAAAACAACCCTGATTGAAAACCACCAAAACGTTCATCAACAGGGTACTGTGGAAATATGTTATAAGTCATTTAAATCTACATATGCATTTAAGTTCATACACTTTTTATAGTTTTATTCTTTAAAACCATATACACTTTGACCTAAGAAGCAATTAAAATCGAATGAGGCAGCTTTGTATGCCCCAATACAAACTATTGTTCAGCTAAGAAATACCGTGCAAGAGAGCAATGTGCAGAACACATTGTAGTCTCTGCTGCGTGGGTAAGGTACAGAATATACACATATGTATGCCTGTCTGGTCTATTTTTGGAAAGATTCACAAGAAACTAGCAACAGTAGTTGCTTTTAGAGGACATCCGACCCCCTGATGTGAGGCCAACTTTTCTCTATACTCTCCTGAGGACCTTTAGAATTAAGTGTTCTGTGCCATATAAATGCATAGTTTGCCCTAAAAATAAACAACAAGGCCATCAAAGAAAGATCCTTTTAAGAGGTATAGATAACAAAAGGCGGAGGAATGCAAAAAACGTCCCTGGCTCCACCCGCTCTTGGCAGGGCCCCCAGGAGTGCACACCAAGGAGACCTGGTTTCTCAGCCTGGGCGAGCTGGCTTCAGAACTGCAGTGCACCCTTATATCAAGGACCCGGGCAGGTGCCAGTTCAAAACAAGTAGGGGAACCCTCTTCCTCTTCCTTCCTCATTTCCACCAAACGCTGAAAAACTCGACCCTCTGAACTCTCAGCTTTGTTTAAAATGGATCTTACTTTCCAGACTGTCCACCTACTAGAATATACTTTCAATTAAATACCTGTGAACGTCTAAATACTTACTAAATTCATGTTATCACCACCCCCACCCACCTGGTTTATCAAAGGCTAAGGGCGGGAAAGTTTATAGAAACCCGCAAGCCGAGGCTGGCACTGTCCGAGCCGCAGAAAACAAGCCTTGAGAATTCCCTCGGCACAGCTGCGCGGCCGCCACAGCACTTCAGAACCCGGCACCGCACGGAATGCCTGGCAGGCTTGGGGTCAGTCCTGGCAAACCTAAGAGCTGCCGGGTTGACTTCATTTAGTCCTCCACAACTGCAGAACCAGAACATGCAACCTCCACGAAGGCTGCTCTTCTACCTGCTGGGGCTGGCTGGGATTTCTCCGGAGTGACAACCTGGGCATTCAGCCTGCTGACTGGCTCAAATGCATCAACGTGACACCTTCCTCCTGGAGGCCCAGCAGCGCGGGCCGACACCCCTGGGAGGTGTGAGGAGCGCTCGAGTGCGCGCTGGGGGAGGGAGCGCGGACGGGGCAGGGACTCTGCTTGCGTGCCTGGCGGGGACGCTGCCCAGCTCCCGGCCATTGCTGGCGGAGGCAGCCCGGCGCCAGGAGTCCTCGGGCTGGTCAGCGAGTTCAGACTGCTCTCGCAGCCCGGGACGCGGGATCAGCAAGAAGTCAGGAAAAGCCCGAGGGCAGCACTGCACAGTACAGGCGCCGAGCTGACGCCCGCAAATTGGAAAGGTGACCCTCGGTCCCTCGTGCAGGAGGAGGAGGGTGCGAAGCGGATAAAGTTACAGCCCGCGGCACACGCAGCTCGAAACTCGGGGTGGTGGGGCGCTCCCCGGAGACTGGACCCGAAGGGGGTGTGGCGGCCGCGGCTCCGACAGCGCACGGTGGAGGCGCCCCCGCAGCCGGCGCGGGAGGGCCGGGAAGCCGCGGGGGCCCGCCACGCGCTCGCGCACCGGCTCACCAGTGATGTCCAGGTACAGGTCATCCTGGAGGTCCAGGCGGTGCAGGTCCTGCGACGTGGAGCTCCGGCTCTTCTTCACGCTCGGCGAGGTCGACGAGCAGCGCCGTGAACAGGGGGGCGCGGCGGCCCAGGTCGGCCGCCGCTCGCTCTTCCGCTTCATGGAGGCGGCCGCGGCCCGTCAGGGGGCCACGACCATGGCCCCGCGCGCGCGCGCGCGCGCCGCGGAGGCCCCCGCCGGCCCGGAGCGGGCGCTCGGCGGGCGGGCGCGCAGCGGCGCAGCGGGGACGCGGAGCGCCGGCCGAGCCCGCG